TGAAGTCATAGGTGTAGCCAAGGGCTTTCTGAACAGAACTCCAGTTGCAAAAGAAATAATAGTAAAAATCGACAAATGGGATTATATCAGATTAAAAACTTCTACACAACAAAGGAAACAAGCAGAAGAGTGAAGAGACAACCTGTAGAATAGGAAAAAATAATGTGACCAGCTATTTCTCAGACAAGATTAATATCTAGAATATGAAAAGAACTCAAAAACTTATAGCATGCAAAATAAAAGATCAAATCAAGAACGGACAAGTAAAATGAATAGCCACTTCTCAGAAGAAATACAAATGGCCAACAAATATATGAAAAATGTTCAATATATCTGGCCATTAGAGAAAAGCAAATTAAAACAACACTCAGATTTCATCATACATCAGAAGAAAGGCAAACTAGTTCCCTTTTCCTTTTTAATGATTTCTTCTCATTTCTTAAAGATAATAATATGCAACATATTAACTATTGTTATTCTATCATCTTGTTATGAAATTTTGTTTTACCTTTTTTCCATAAAATAAAAAAGAAAGAATGGCAATCATTAAGAAATCAGTTAATAACAACAAACCTTGGTGTGACTGTGGTAAAAAAAATGTACCCTCCTATATTGTGGGTGCAAATGTAAACAATTCAACCATTATGGAAATCAGTATAGAATTTTCTCACTAAACTAAAACTTGAAATTCATTTGACCCAGCTATTTTTGTACTAAGTGTCTTCCCAAGAGACCTAAAGACATCATATTATAGTGATACATATATACCAAAGTTTGTAGCAGCACACTTCATAATACCTAAATCCTGGAAGCAGCCTGTGTGTCCATCAACAAATACATGGATAAAAGAAGTGGCATCTATATCTAATGAAATATTACTCAGCTATAAGGATTAATTTGAGACATTAGTAGAAAAATGGATACACCTGAAAATATATTAAGTAAATTATATCAGACACATAAGCTTAAATACCACATATCTCTCATTTGAGTAAGGCAAAGTACAAATAAAGAGCAAAATAAAGAATTGATAAAAGTTAACAGTTGAAATAGATGTTTTACAAATGGGAAGGGGTCCAGGAGACTAAAGGTGAGAGGAGAGACAGAGAGTGGAATGGGAAGTAAAAAGATTTAAGATATGTCATATATGTACAATTAATGTAAAGTCAGAAATATGGATGAAAATAATAATAATAATAAAGGATTTATAGAAGGAGGGAGGGAGATTGGTTGAGAGGGAAAGGGGATTAAAAAACAATCAAGACATGTTGTGTAATATACCTACTCCCTACGATGAATATAAACTACATGTACTGCAAACATGTACTAGTAAAACATAAATTTTTAAATCTAAGTTTTACTTCAGGGAAGCAGGTATAGAATGATATTATTCAGTAGGCAGGAACTTAGTCAATTCAACCATTCAATGGTATAGCTTGAGAAAATTATTATCCTTTATTTCTATGTTCTTCCATAAGTAGGGGCATCCAAAGCCAAAACACACCTAGTCTCTCTACACACTGACTGGAGACTCTAAAAGCAAAAATATGTTACTCAGCTCAGGCCCTTTCTTTTCAAAGCCCTTTGTAGTAAGCTTCCCTTCAGAGCATTTGTTCTGCTTTTCCTTCAGGAGTGGGTCTTATAATATGGCCACAGTTCTGTATCTTCCTAACTTCTCAACTCTTCCTATGGTCTTGATACACAGTGCTTGTCTCATCAAGGAGCCACCAAAATATTCCACTGCTTCTAGTCTGAGCTCAAAACCAAATAAAACATGGCAAAATGTAAGATAAATAATACATCAACTTTATTCTTTATAGAGACAATATTAGAGAATGAGACCTAGATTTTCTGGCATATGGGGTTTTTATAATGAACTCCAGAATGAGACAGACCAATCCACATATTAATGCTGCACTGGGACCTTTACAAATGACAATGACTACAATGAATGTATATCTTGCTGTCTTATGAAGGAGTTTTGTCTTTCTCTCCCCAAGGAAAGTGACTTCTTTGCCAAGGACTATCCCTGTAGCAGGAGACAGTGTTTTAAGACACTGTGTTTGAGAAACACTTCTAAAACTGAATAAATACTTCTTATTTGGAATGAATACTTGCCAAAATAACCTCTCAAGTTTTCTCATGGAGTTATTTGTAACAACACCTTCTCAATACCTTAATTCAAATGATGACCATGGAAGCTCATCTAGTGGAATTAGGCTTCAAATTCCAAGAGTAGCATGAAAATTACATAACCTGCAAATTTCCCTTGGAAATCCTTTCAAGAAGGGACATGTTCAGGAATTTCTACCAACAATAAATATTTTTACCAATATTCAAACTATAGTCAAAATGATAACAAAGTGTCACTAAGCCTCAAAAGATGAGATAATGCTTTCCTTATCAAATGATAACATTCCAAGAACAGGGAAAGTTCATTCAAACTATGTTTTGGATATTAGTTTTTACTTAGTAAATATTGCAAATCAGAAGCCATTTATTTCCTTTCAGCACTCTGTGTACTGACTACTCGTAGGCAGGTATTCTTCTGTTTCATCTCTTGTCTGTTATGTGAGGCTAGTCATCAGAAGGCTCCATTATATCAGGATATCTAAAAGAGCTCCCTACCATGAATGATAATTGGTGCCAATAGTCCCTGGAAGCTCAGCTATGTATGTTGATCATGCAGCACCCTGGTTCTCCTCCAGATACTTTGGAGCATGACCAAGATACAAGTTGGTTCTTTAAAGAACCCTCCATGTGTAAGGCTGCCAGATTATTTTTAATCTAATTAAATTTGAGTTCCAGATAAACAATAATAGTTATGCATACTAAATAATACAGTATACAGTATCATTTTGTTTATCTGAAATTAAAATCCAACTGGACACTCTGTGCTTCTATTTGCTGTATCTGTTAACTCTAGAAAATGATCCCATAAGTGTGTAAGTATGATGATCCTCTGATATAGCTCTAGGAAAAAATAAGGAGGTCAGGTTGGCAATAAAAAATGCTAGTACTACCTAGCATTGGTTGAATGAAATGACAACAACCACTTGCATACACTCGTGGTTCCAAATGGGCTTATCCATTCTCTGAGGACTATATAATTGGGACTTACTAACATAAATGGCCTTTGATACAGAAGACCTGTTTCTCACAACAAGGAAGTTTCAGCTGAGAGTTTAGAGAAGGATCAGCAAGGTGATTCTGATCTGAATCCTGGTGAAAAGGATCGGGCAAAGGAACCACATGGGTTCCCTGCTTTGAGGAGAAAACATAGCTAATATTTAGGGGGCAGATTGTTTAGTTAGGTCCAGCTTCAGATTAAATTACCGATTGAATATAATTCTCATGAAAACTCTATTGGTGATATTATTGCTACACTGTCTTCATGGATGTGTTTGACTACAAATTTCATGTTCCTAATGGCCACGCTGGAAGACAAAAGAGATTGTGACCGCTGAGGTAAATACAATTCCAGTATTATTCTTGTTGCCAGAGAAATAATTTACTTTGGGTTACTGAGCTGATGTTCCTATTCCCTTTGAAGACTGCCACTTGGGAGTGCTCTCAGCTCTTAGGGACTAGTTCAACTCCCTGCTACATTGCTTTCTTTAACTTCCAATCAGCAATAGTGTGTTGAATATTCCTGGTGCTTTGAATCTCTAATTTCTGCTCATCTGAATGACCACAGAAAATGATCATTTTCAAAAAACTTGACTGATTGGTTAGGTCAGGATCATAAGATACTCTCACTTTTTCTTCTATGAGAGAACATAATCATGGATGTGATGTCTCATATTCACAGGTTCTCCCTACACTCACAGTGGAGGGGGTTACAAAAGTCTGAGTGCCACTGAATGTCTTCTTAGAATTGTATCGTTGGATGTCATCTCTAAATTCTGCTTCCTTCTAAGAAATTTTTGCCCAGAAAAGCCACTCAAAATTCAACAGTGGTGTCCAGACTTAAACTATATTTTGTTTCCTCAACACTTGGTCTCACTGTTGTAGAGCATCACTCTTCTAGGATGAGGCCAGCACAAGGGAAGTGACTTACATTTCAGCACAGAGGAGTACAAACAGAGTTAAGCAAGGCTTTCTAAACTGAGGGGCTGGAGGTGATAGTTGAGTAGGACCAAAGGACAGGGGATATACCTCAGTGTCACAGCACCTGCCTGTTAAAAATGAAAAGATAATCTCAAAACTTGAATAACAATCATAAAGCATATACGATATAGGACCTTTATCCAGAATATTTAAATAACTCTCAAAACTTGATAAGAAAACAATAACTATCACCAAAAACATGGGCTAAATATTTGAACAGATACTTCACCAAGAAGATATATAAGTGACAAAGAAGAGAAACACAGGAAAAGATACTCAACATACTTATTCATTACAGAAATGCAAATTAAAGCCATAATGAGATTCTAGCATATATGTATCTATTAGAATGACTAAAAATAAAGACTGACTAAAGTATTGAATAAGTAGCAATTCATACACTGCTTGTGGAAATGTAAAATGGCATAACCACTTTGGAAAAGGTTTTTAGTTTCTTTAAAAGCTAAATGTACACGCTTTATACATTCTAGTCATTCTAATCTGAAGTATTTACACAACAGAAGTAAAAGCATATGTCTCTAAAACATTTGTACATGAATGTTTCTAGTAATTTTATTGCAATAGGCCCAACTAGAAACAACCCAAATATCTATCATCTGATGAATGCATAAACTGTGGTGTACTCATTTAACAGAATATTACCTTCCAATAAAAAACAAAGACAGCATAGACATCTTGGAGTTACGTCCAGAGGAAAACTGACAAAACAGCTCAATCATTCATGGAAACATTTTAATTAACAACTAGAGGATGGCTAAAATAACTCTGAAGGAGCTCTGGAAAACAATGAAGGTCTACATCAATCAAGTCAACATGCAATAAAGAAAATTTTACATTCAAAATCATAGGAAATTGCACAGTAATTTTACCTATCTTTGTTCCACCTCCATTCTGGCACAATGGAACACAGTCCCAGTAGGTAGGCACCAATTCTCAATTTCTTTACTTGACCTGGAGAAAACAGAGCAAACTTTACTCACAACGTTCTAATGAGTTTGGAGGCTGCTTAAAGGAATGGTCTGTTTCACATCACTCTAGTCTTGAATGGAAGAAAGCAGCATAGCTCAGATCTCAGGGCGGGAACAATGATAACAAGCTGCAGGCTTGTGAAACTAGCAGAGGGATTGCCATCTAGCAAAAGTCTGGGCAAAAGATTAAAGACAGATAAAGCAATAAAACAACTAAGGCCCCAAGAAGAGCTGTGATGAGACTCTAGGAAATTCAGACTTACTAAAAAATTAAATATAAAAAAAATTAAAAATTAAATGTATTTGTAACTGGTACATAAGAACATAAAAGTTGTATATATTAGTGGGAGGAAACTAAGACATTTGAAAGCAATCACGTATATGGGGAAACTGAAAAAAAGCACAAACATGGTGCCAGGCAATATGAGTGTCCTGAAACAAATTGACGTGACTTTTGACTTTCACTAAGGGATGCATGCACAATTCAGAACATGCCTGATAATTAGTGAAGGCCATTTTCAGCATGCAACCAGTTTGTACAGACTGGGATTAGTGACTGTTTTCTCAAATGGCCAATTTTCAACAAAAAACACAAAGCATACAATGTAATAGGAAAACATCATTAATAATAGGGCATCGGGTAAGGCTTGGACTGATTACCAAGAAAAAACTAGGAAGTCTGCCCACTGTTCTGGAATTTCACGCAGACAGCAGCTTGGCAAATGCTCTGGGTTCTCAGCACTGAAGAAATGAAAGAAGCAGCTGGGTTGAAGCCAAGAAACTTAGATTTATTATGGATGACAATAGTTTTGAAAGGGAAAGTTTTATTCTATTGTTTACTTATTTGTTGATGAAAGGGAGGAGAGGGAGAGGGAGAAGATTCTGTGTTGAATGTAAGGTACACTATTATCTCTGATGTTAATGTTGTTCATCGAAGTCCATTGATGCAGACAGACACAATAACATAGTACATTTTCTTCTAGGACACTGAGGAAATTGCCAATATCCCCTGCCTGCTGCATAACTTCTGTTTGTATAATAGTGCAGATGATCATCGGGGGGAATATTCTACTGTTTTAATTCTCTTAGAGGAAGTATGGATTTTTAATCTTTTCCTTTGTCCCTAGTTATTTTCATTTTTATTTTTTGCACTGAATTTACTGATGATACTTACCCAAAGCAGTCATAACAGTGGTATTTATCATTTTGATTTTTCAATTTCCAGCATTCAACATTTTTATTTATTTTTATTGGTACGTGTTTGTAGTACTTAATGATTACATTCAGTGATATATGCATGCCCATGTTTACAGCAGCACAACTCACGATTACCTCAGGTTATTTTTAATCAATTTCCATGGAGAAATTGTTTTGGAGTTAGAAGGTAAAGTTAATATGAGTATATCTAGCAAAAATGATTCCATTTGGATTTTGCACTTATTTTAGACAGCCCTGCAGGAGAAAAAACTGAGCCTATTTTGTAAAACGTAGCATGTAATTTCTAGTCAGTTCTTTGTGCTCACCAAATGATTTCATCCACTTATGTCTAAGTCATTTTCTCATCACTGAACACAATACCTGACACCCATAGCTTAAAGGTAGAGAGGTTAATTTTGGCTCATGATTTTAGTGAAAGGTTACCTGTAGGAGAACAGCTGCTCTCTCCAAGGCAGCCCAGGAACCAAAGAGAGAAAGGAGGAACTGGGGACAAGAATACACGTCTCTCATGACCTGCCTTTTCTAACCAGATCCCACCCTCCAAATACATGAGACTTCCGAGGAACACTTTAGACCTAAACCCTAACAGCTAATTAACCAGTAGACATTGTATTGAGCACCCACCTGTGAGGTAGTGACAGATAATGATAGCATGGATAAATGTAACATAAAATATTTCAAAGCCATGACTTTACCTTTGAAATGGCTCCCTTTAGAGACTGTAGATGAAAACTGTGAAAAGAGATTTCCATAAAATTCTTAGCATAATGCCTGGCACATGGAAGATATGAGACAAAAATCCTGCACTCCTTTCATTTTGGGGTGTTTTTTGCTCTTATCATTGAATATCTGATGCTTGAGAAACATAAAATTTTGCCCCCAGATCTAGTACTTTAGTGAAAACAGTAAGCACATTAACTGCTATTATCATTCTTCAGCGGTGCTGTGTAAATATCTTTATGTTAATGACAAGCACTGGCACAGTATCAGTTAAACTTTAAACCGGCTAGCACCTGGGTCTCAGAAAATTGCCATGTAGAAGGAAAAATTCTTTGAATGTTGAGAACATGGCCAAAACCAATACAAAAATGAACAGTTTAGTTAATTTAATGAACTAGAAAAGAAAGCCCAGAGTCAATGCTTACCGTAATGAAAGTGGCATTTCCCAATCAATGGGTAAATATGGAACTTTTAATTACTTATATTACACATTCAATAAAAATAAAGTTGCTTCCCATGCTCATAGCAAATCATACAGGATATGTCAAAAGATGAAAGTATTTAAAACTTTATACTATTAAGATCCTGATATTTAATTAAATAACAAATGGTAAAAACCTTCTATGTAGTTATATATACAATCTGAGAAGAAGTTCAGATGTACAGTTTGCATTGGTTCACTTGAATGCTGTTTTCATGGAAAAAAATTACTGATGGTAAAGGTACTTGGCTGTAGAAGGAATTGGTGTCTGCTTCTCACCTTTGTTTTTAAAGGTGTGGAATTGTTTCTCTTGATACATACCACCTTACTCATATAGTTAAAAACCCTTAGTAGTAACTAAGATAGTAGATGGAAGTGAGTCTTATGGTGACTACCAATCAGCTATATCCTTTGATGCTGCAATCATATTGCCTAACCAAAGGAGATAAGAAATGTCCATTCTAGGGGAAGAAAGAGATCTCTTCTTTAGATACATATTGTTCCATTCATATATTATGCCACTGAATAGTCCTAGATAGCTAGGGAAGTGCTAGTCAGTGTAAAGCCACAGCCCATTCACCAACAAATTTCTGTGGCCAGGTCATAATAAAAACATAACTGTTTTGACAAAATTTGATAGTTATTATTTAATGAAAGTTTGTTATCTGAATGTAAATTATTTACCTTGCCAATAATATATTCAATGGACATCTGTGATCACCCATTTCCTTTGAGCAATTCCTCCAGAGAATGTCACAGTTTCTCTCTCCCATTATACAGCTTCTCTCTCCCATTATACACTTTCAGGGCTAGTGTCTGTCAGATTTTGGGACTCTGATTATAAAGTACACTCTTTCCTCTAAGTTTCCTGGGAGATTATCCTCCTTAACCAGCTTGACAAGGCGAGGTGGTGGATTGTTCCAACATCTGCTTTACTTGGGTGAGTACTGTTAAGTTTCAGGTCATATTTATTCCTTCCATTTAAGATATATTTTTATAATTACAGTGCTACCTTGGTTCATGATTTTTTTTTCAGACTGGGTCTCCCAGTGTAGTGCAGGCTGGCCTTGAACTTGCTTATGTAGCCCAGGCAGGCCTGGAACTCTAGGTGATCCTCCTGCCTCAGCCTCCCAAGTGCTGTGATTACGGTGTGTACCATTATGCCCAGCTTGGTTCACACACTTAATTCTTTTCATAATTTTGGTCACAAACTGAATTGGATGAGAACCAGATCAAATTTCCCCATAAAGTCAACATCAGACCTAACTACTGAATTTCATTTGGTTCTCATCCAATGCAGTCTGTCACCAAAATCATAGGAAGAATTAAGTTTGTGAACTTTACCACTTTACCAGATTAATATGAGTGCTTGAAATTAAATTTTGTATCTTACTTCTGCATTCACCCTTATAAAGGTCCCTTTTAGACTTTAACAGCCCACTGTCACAAAGAGATAGATCAACTAGACAAAAAAATCCGCAAAAAAAAAAAAAGTAACAGAACTAAACCACACTTATGAACAAATGGACTTAGTAGACCTTTAAAGAGTCTACTACCCAACAACATCAGGACACACATTCTTCTCAGCTGCACATGGGACATTCTCTGAAATAGACCATATACTAGTCATATAAAATGCTTAAGTAAATGCAAAGGAATTGAATTCTCTCACACATATTTCTGGATGATAGTGCAATGAAATTGGAAATTATTGACAAAATAAATAGCAAAAAACCCATAAACATAGAGAAACTAAATAACACCCTCCTGAACAACCAATGGGTCACAGATGAAATTACAGAAAAAAGTAAACAATATTTACAATCAAATGAAAATACAAATACAACTTACCAGAACCTGTGGATGCAATAAAAGCAGTCCGCAGAGGGAAATTTATAGCAATGAATTTTTACATTAGGAAAACAGAATGAGCACAAATAAACAATTGTATGCTACAACTCAAGCTTGCAGAAAAAGAAGAGCAACTCAAGCCCAAAGGCTAAAGAAGGGAGAAAATCTTAAAGGTAGAGCAGAAATTAATGCAATTGAGACAAAGAAAACCATACAAAGAATTAATGAATAGAAGAGTAGGTTCTTTGAAAGAATAAATAAAATTAATAAACCCCTAGCCAACCTTATCAAAAAAAGGAAAGAAAAAACTCAAATACATGCAATAAGGAATGAAAAGTGTGAAATCACTACAGACCCTGTAAAAATTCAGATCATCAATACTTTAAAAATCTTTACTCTTGGAGAATGGAAAACACAGAAGAAATGGACAGATTCCAAGGTACATACGAATTACCAAAGGTAAATCAAGAAGATATAAAAACCCTGAATAACCCAGTGTCAGTGAACAAACCTGAAAACATAATAAAAAACTTACCAACAAAGAAAAGCCCAGGTCCTGATGGATCCACAGCTCAATTCTACAAAAAATTTAGAGAAGATTTAATGCTAAATCTTCTAAACTCTTTAATGAAATAGAAAGGGAAGCAATTCTCCCTAACTCATTTCTGGAAGCAAGTATTACCCTCCTACCAAAACCAGAGAAAGACCCAACT